ATATTGTCAGTTTATTAAATACAATGGAAAATACTGACTCAGAGATATCATTATTATAAACTAGTCTAGCCTAGGGCAAAACAAAGGTACTATTGGTTAATTCGGTGTAAGCAAATCATTTCTTTCGACAAGGCATTGCTGCCACTGTTGTGGTTTTTTCTTTTTAGGAAAAACTGTGAGCAGAAAACCATCCCGTTTGACTTGAGTATTCTGTTACAAAGCAGTGATGCAAAAATAGTATTTTTTTTTTAACCAGGATTTATATATAACACGAAGTATGGAAATATTCCTATCCAGAGGATGCCTGGGCAAATTATTAAGGCTGAGGCTTAATGCCGCGGTTCAGCCGTACGTACGTACGTTGACGGGTGCATAGAACTGAGCCGCGCACCATCAACAGCGCTTCGAGTGTAGCGAGGTAGGAAAGTCACAGAACACTTAGGTCATCGAGACATCACATCTGGAACAAGTATTGCACCAAACGAGTGCATATGCACCACCTTTAGGTGATTCCGGTAGGGGCAGGGAGGAACCGGGTCTCTATTTCTATAATATAAGACCGTCCAGACGAATACGATCCATGATCGACCTTATACTCTAAACGTATATATAAGGAAAGGCCGAAGTTTTTATGAAAAACATCATTCAGTTTCACTCGTATAAGGTATCTGTGTAACGGGACGAACGGGGGGTAGGCCATTTTGACATGGCACTGTACCACATCGAGAGGACTATTTTTGATCAAAGCTTTTCAAAATCTTTCGATATTAGAGAAACAGGACAATAGTTTTTGGTACACGACCCTTGTTCCTTTGTGTATCACTGTTATGTAGTCATTCATTATATAGTTCCGGAATATATACAATAGTTCCGGAATATTGCTTTAACAATATAGTCACTCAAATAATCGAAGCGAATAAAAATACGATAAAAAATCTTTGTAGAAAACAGGTTATGTATGTACAAATGTATAGTTGCATTTTGATTTTCTTGTTTTAGGCTAAAGTACGGCTTTGTCAATTTTTTCTTTTAAACTTCTGTCGGAGCAGTCGGGTTGGAGTCATACACCCGTTTAAGCCGGGATTTTAAATTGCATGTACATGTCTTTCATTCTTTAGCAATTATAAATTACGATGCCGACCAAATCTATTATTTTATAGTTGGGTTTCTTAACTAGTGGATGTAGATCCGCAATCAAATGAGAAAAACATAATTACGATCACGCTCTGACTAGACAAACAGATTTAACTGCGTCAAAATCAATTAATAACAGTAGGTCGTTTGTTGATCAAGAGGCATCGGGTGGATCAGATTCGAATTGAACGAGCGCTTGCTGATATAGTAGTTTGTTTTTTGCGTTAACAGGGAAAAAAAGAAAAAAAAATCGTAAATTAGCTAATCTTTTTTAAAACCACTGATAGTGAATTAACACTGATAATAGCAACATAACATTTTGCACGTTGTCTGCACGAAAGTAAAAAAGTCGCCAGCGTTGGTCACATAGTGATAATCAAAAAGCGTAAGGTACCTTGTACCCGCAAAAAAAGAAGGATTTGCCGGGCTTTAATACTGTTTGTCATTTTTGGTAAATATGCAATGTAACGTTATTAGAGGATAATTATAACAAGCCTGCTATCTAATAGTGCTTGACAATTCTATCTAATAACTAATAACATTCTTTGGCGTATGTATCGAGCACCCCAGGCTGTTACAGTGATAATAGCGCTCTGTCAGCTTACGAGAGATTAGTTTTTACGGGAAAACGCATGGCGGGTGTACGGTTTTTTACCCGCGAGAAAACGTTACGGAACGCACTACTACCCGTTCGTATTCGGTTGCATACGTTTTTCATCGAACTTATTTCCAAATCCTCCATGCATACTTTCATCAATGCAATAAAAGTGTTAGTAGATACGTGCCATGCTTCATTGATTGAATACACATTATATTTAGTGCTATGATTATCGGCGTGGCGTCGTGCGCGAGATTTAAAGGCGCCTAGCAAGTTTCCAACGACACATGTTGACTAGGTTGTCATGACAACGGAAAATAATCTACAATGTAGTCCAAGCAGATTTTATACGCACCAAAAATGGAGTTTGTCAGGTACACGGAGCTGATAGTCGATTTCTCTTGGCTTGGCAGCTGACGGTGAGCTAGACTTTACTCATTTTGAGAAAACACGGGGAATTAGAATTAGCGAATTTTCTTTGGCATTTTTGGTACAAACAAACAAACACGAAGTGGAACGAGTGCGAATCATACTTCAAACCCTCGCATAGAGAGCGGACGCTTTAATTTCGATTTTATTACTTTGGTAAACTCCAGCTAGCGAATTCAAAGTTACGTTAGCTGGAAAAGAAACACTTCTTATTTCCCATCAGTCCGAACACTTATTATTATTGCCTTCCAAACCTCGCTGGGCAACGGTGAGCAATTTCCCCTGTTTCGTCGTTACTCGTTGTGATTTTATTCGCATCTTATAGATGCATATGTTATTACTACGCACATATATTATCTTTGTGACAGCGTAGCAAGAGGAGAAGAGGGCGATAACTTGTACCAAACAAACTTGAAGAAATATTTAGAGACCAGGTAATGATGACAAGTCGAAAATTGCTTGGAAATCCAATAAAGATTCTGGTAGGCTTAAGGTGAACCCCGGACAAGACAAAAACCTAATACGTAAACATTGAGTAGGCAGATTAAAATGTTTATAGTTTGGTTGGTGGATGTAGCTTAAGAAACTATATCTGAAATAGTTCATAGGGTTTTGTTTAATGTCCATGCTGCCTCTAACGTATGTCTCAAGCGCTCTATATCTCTGGCTCCATACGACTATATATTAAAGTAATGGTATTTCGGAAACTGCCACGTAGATAGACCTATCAACCAATGCTTTTTGAGTAACAAGATGTGCGAATTCTGGAAATGACTTAGGTTGGTTTTAATTGTTTTTGTGCACAGTTTGCTTGAACCGAATAAAAAAAGTGGGAGCTTAAAAATACAATGCTTTGCTCGAAGCAACAATAAGCGTACCAATTTTAATTCTAAGACTTTTGCAAGTGTACAAGCTTTATGGGTATCAGCCGTTATGTTCCTCTGTTTATAAGCTATAGAGACATACACGACTCCTGCCATACACGACTCCTGCCATTATTGGAACAATGAACCTAAAAGATCATTTTCGCTGTGATAAGCCTTTCCTTCAGATAAGTTCGATCAAATTTGGATAGACGTAAGTCGAAAAAAGCGGATGTGAGTTATAGTTTTCAACAATCAAGTTATGAGGGATTACCGTCATGGCGTCTTATTATAGTAGAAATGATTTTTGCATCTTTACATTAAAAGTAAAGCAGCACGATTAAGGGGTTCTACAAAAATCGAACCAAATGATAATCCGATGGTTCAAGGTCCGTATTATACGGTGGATGCGTCAAAATTTTTCATTTAAACTCTCTCATTTTTTTCCGAGCAACTTAAAATCCGTGTCGTTTGGCACTGTCATGGATGGAGAGGGCGCTTTTTGTATTCATTAATTCGCTAGAGAAGGCTAAGTCAATCCGTTTTGCCAGGCGGAAACTCCAATTCCACTAAGTGTATACCGTCACCATTTTTTGGCTTCAATATGTGGCGCTACAGCTTGACCACATTCGTTATGGATCCGAACACGATTGGACTCTGCTCCATCATGAAAAAATCTCACCAACTAAAGGTTCTATCGCAAAGGAAGAAGTGCGTTCTAGAGAAGATCTCATTGTCTTGTGCTCAATACGGTATTCGAGTGATTTTTGATTTCTTATTAAAGTAATAATGGCAATGTTTATTTGGCACAGTTTTTGCGCTGAATCACACCGATCCATTATGATTAAATCATCAGCTCGCTTCCGTGTTGTATTATTCTATGTCGGCTTTGAGTCGATTTACTATCGGTAACCAAAACACTGCCAGCGAAAATAGGGAAAAGCCGAGGATCTGTTATGGGAAACTGAGTATGACGGATAAAATATCGGACATTAAAAGTCGACTTTATAGTAAGGACCAGAAATACTTATTTAGTAACAGTGTACGTTTTTTTATAACAAAAAAAAATCTTATTAGTTTGAAAAAGATTAGCCGGACTATATATACGCTGAAACAGCGTGTTATTATGATAGCAAACATTATCTATCGAAAAGCTATGGGAAATAATGCTATTTGGTGTCTATGAGAAGAGTTGAAGTTAACTTACTGTCAACTGGTGATCATTACTGGTCATGACGTGGCCTCTCGTGTGTTCCCGTATGGCTATGAGAGAAGCCTAATTTAGGTTAACGGTAACTGTAGAAACGCAGATGGTTTCAGGGGCAAATGTGTAGCGTATGGTAATAACCATGACAAAAATAGCAAAGCCTGCAACGGTTTCAAAACAAGTCGGAAGCTAATCAATTTCGTATAATCCGTAGAAGATATTATGCAGGGAAGATTTAATTATAAATAGTATGGTAGTAATAATACGAGTACTAGTTGTGACTTACTGTTTTGGTGAGTAGGACAGCGGTAACCCGAATAGATCATCGGCAAATAAATTCATTCGGACAACGATCTCCATGAAGTATGAAATTTAATTTTGTTATGTGTTGAAAGCAAGAAAAAATTATTTTACCTTGTCCGTTGTTAATTTAAGGTCTACATTAAGCAATGTGATCCGGTGTTGCAAATATCAATCCAGCTTTATCCAATATTATAAGTGCAATATTCGAGAAACTATATCCTAATATTTATTGAATGCATAATTTAGGTGGTAGCTGTCAACTTTTGCCAATACACCTAGTTGTTTTGTAGTTAACAGGCTTTTTTTTTGTTTGCTATAGAAATTATAGTTTCTGTGGCTCGAAAAAGGCAGGGTCTGGCAACGAAACTGGGAAACGTTGGTCAGAGTCATGAACCTCGCTATATGTGATCATAAAAAAGTGTTATAAAAAGATGTTATAATAGCTTACCACTCGTCTGCTACCAGGGAAGTATAAAGAAATTTTTGGTAAAATACTTTCGAACATCAAATCAGTCCGTCGCCCAGCTTTGTATAGCGTTGAAGATGTATCAATTTTTCCGAATATTCGAAGATACAAGATTAATTTTCCTCAGTTAGTCCTTCAACTCTTCCATTGGAAGGAATATAAAGTTTTAAAACAGGGGGATAACATGGGTTGTTTTTCCTATTGCCTCGTACCAAGACTATTAGCGATAGTAGTCCGTTTTATAAAAATAGTTGCAATCATCGTATATCATTGTGTTGTTGGAATGTTGATATGGCTGCATGCTACAAAATCGTAGCGCACCAAGTAGAACTTCTTAAGCCCATGTACTAACTTAATAATATCATGAACTGCTCGGGCGCCTCCTGGAAGCGTTAAGCTATCCCTCCAACAACGGCTTAAGTTAAGTGCCATTTAAGATAATATTTCATGCACAGCTGCTTCTCTGTGCTTAAACACTATCTATCTGGTTCACAGGCTGATAGTTGAAACACATTGTTCCAAAGGTTAACCCATCAACTTTGTAACGATCAGAGTCTACATTTACAAGCTGATTCTCAAGGGACAGTCAATGAATCTGCATATAAGTTCGTATAGCGATACTTAGACTTACCCAAACTGTCTGTAATGAAATTTATTGTCTACCATAATTGGCAAGGTATTTTCGAACAGTGATATCTATAGGCAAATATAACGCACATAGAGAAGACCGTGTATGTAATGTAAGTTCGTGAGCAGTCCGAGGATTAGGCTCTAGGAGACGAGCTTATATCGAAGCATATCATGGCACCAGTGTCGTGATTTTACACAATTTATTTTGTTTTTAGCTTTCACTAGCGTTATAGGACACACGAGCAGGTGACGTGTATTACAGTAGCATTTAGGCAGGTGTTTCGATGGTTCACAATGATTTGATATTGATGGCATCCAATGATACATAGCCGTAATATGTGCGTTTCATTAGCGTAACAGTGCCCTCTTTACCAGTAGGGTAAACTAAATGTCATAACTGCGATGTGGAAGAAATAACCGTGTTATTTGGCGGTCATTTCAAATTTCAGCCGTACAGTATCGACCTTGCAGGAAGAATCTGGCTGCTCGTATGATCACCATCTCGCTGTTAAACTTCAGCGTCACGTAATGGATGGAAAGGTCAGTAAAAACCCTGTGGGATGTTTGTGACATATAAGAAAGACATAGTTCATAATTATACCAATATATTCATTATATACGAAGGATAGACATATTTAATATACTGGAATTATTTAAAAGTTAGGAGCCTGTATGTCCCATAAATTCAGCAAAAAGTACAACTAAATACGGCTTTTTATCACTTGCAACATTTAGCCTGGCATTGAGCAACACATAGCCGCAGTGACAGTTTTCTACGTGACATTGTCACCGCTAACGAGAAGTATCCTTATGTCTATACTCCAAACTCCGGAGTTCAACGAAATCTCTATCCCAAAAAGATATGATTTATGATTGTTGGGACCGGAAGATCTTACTAGCTGCAAAATTCTTGAAAAAAGCAAGACGATTAATATATATAATTGTACAACTGAGCCATATATTATAAGGATATATATATATATAAGGATATATATATATATAAGGATATATATATATATATAAGGATATATATATATATATATATATGGCTCAATTGTACTGATTGAACAAGGTTGTCCCATGAAAATCTAACAGACAGGGCAAAGTTACCTTTTTCCAAGACAATGCCAGACCGTACATAGCAGCATTGAAGATAAGGCTCGCTTATGTTCACAGTAATCGATAGACCTTGCAACTATGGATGGCCATCTGTTCCTTCATGAATAGTCGTAAATTATAGTAGTGAAGGTTTCAAAATTTAGTTTGAGGAGTGTCCCGACACCAGACTTTAGAATTCCTATCGACAAGAAATACATTCATTGGATGGGAGATAAAAAGTTCATGGACAAAAATGGCATACACATAATAAATTAACTTTTTCACCGAATTCGAATAAAATGTGTCTACGTGTTTTTTTTTTTTTGTTAGAGGTGAAAAGAGGCCAAAACATAATATCAATAGATTGACACTGCCGCAATAGCAGTCGACTTTAATAAACTCTTCTATAATAAATAAAATGGGCCAGTTAGGCTGCCGCATCAATTAGGCACCCTGTTAATTTCGTGACGTAAGCAGGCTTGACTGCCATTGCAGCTGAAATGCTGCCATTTGTCTCAGCAAGCTATTTCACTCTATTTGCTATGTGATCAATTCATGTGTTAATTTAAATTCAAAAAACATAAAAACACAGTGTGTTGTTAGTCCGTACCAATTTTTCCCGAAAACACTGACAGGAATGTGGCCTACTATTGATCTTAATGTCAAATGCTGTCGTATTTCTAATAGCCATTTCTGGACCTATCTACTGAACCGTGTTGATGTTGGAAGGCTTTTGCGGTTAGACATTTTGTCGCAAGATGAGAAGGTGATCTGCTGAAACTGATTGATCTCAGTAAAACGAAACAGCATTGGCTGGTGGGAGTCCACAAAAACAATTGCCTAAAAATGCGTATCTTATCCGAAAACCACTGTAAATTTCGACAAAACCTTTCCAGGGATATGTTTTTCCAGGGTGTGCTTTTTTTGTGTGTTTTTCAGCGGATTGTCTCCGTTGACAAACTCTAGGACGTAGCTAAAACCTCTTAGAAAATCATTTCGCTCTATCGAAAAGTACCTACAGAAGGGAGGAGGAAACTTTCTTATTGATCTTCTGTAAAAATAGTTTTCAGTACTTAAAGAAACAAATAACAAATAAATGTTATTGTTATTATCGACTTCTGTCCGCTTAGTTGGATCAAGCTATTGACGATCTATCCGACCTGGAACATTTACTTGTCGGGTCGAATGCAAGTAAGAAAATGCGCTTCCTTCTACTTGAGGAGAAATTTCTAGAATTTCTCGTACAAAACAAAACCATGGACGCTCTAGCGTGTCTTCGCACCGAGCTGAGTCCTCTGAAGCACAACATAGAAAGGGTTCATCAACTATCTAGGTAAGCAGCAGTCAAATGTGTTTTCTCATTCAATTCCAAATAGATAACGTATAAAAAATATATTTTACATTAGTGCTATTCACAAACTAGGATAAGGTGAAACAACCTAAATTGATTATGTAACATGGTTTATTAACTGATATAATTTTATCCACACGGAGCTAAATTTTTGTCACATATGCTGAAGTGTAATCCAAAATATCATGGTAGTATCACCTTTCGAATAAGACTTCAACTGTTGAAGATATAACCTCGTGTGAGAAGTACCAGTAATTTATAGTTGTGTTCCATTGTTAGGTTTATTTATGTAAAAGAAACGTCTATGATTGAGGCCAGCATAATAGTCAACTGTAGTCTTCTAATCATAGCAAGTATATAAGGTTCTTTCAACGAGAATGCTCTCACTAAATAGTGGCTTTTATAAACGTTTGCAGTTATCTAATGATGTCTCCGGATAATCCCGAACTTCTCCTCCATCGTTCAAATGTGACGGAGGCTCGGGACCTTCTTATGGAACGATTGCAACGATTTCTTCCTGCCAGCATTATGCTGCCACCGAGACGATTACGTTCTCTACTTGCCAAAGTGCGTAAATTGATATACGTCCTGTGCCGTAATTATAAATGGTGCTTTGTACTTTTGATCGATATTTCATTTTTTTAGAGTCACTTACCGCTGAAGCTGCTTAATAGTATCCGTATTTGTATAACACAACTACAGTGAATTTGGTATAAAGGAAAAAACCTAATCTTGCTCGTCGTATTCACTGACCATTTATTCAGGCCCAAGCGTATCAGGTGGAACGATGCGAACTGCACAATAAGGTCGATCAACCTATCCGTGGTATGGCTCCGCTTACGAACGACGACGGAGTTCGAGATCTACAAATGCTTGAAGGAATTTCCCTTCTTAGCGATCATACCTGCGTTAAAGACGATTTCCCTTGTCACACTCAGCAGGTAATCACATTGACTTCAATTAGGTGTCTGTCCTGCTGACTAGGAACCTGCAAATCGTATTCTGGCAAATCGGAATGTTAGATTTACGTAGCTCTGCTTCCTTTGATTTTACTTACCGTTAATTTCGTATCCTTCCCAATATCTTTCAATCCGAGAAACTACGTCATTAAGTTACTAGTACACCTGAGCCCTCTGCTGCATCGGTCTTAATGGTGTGGTTGCTACATTCTAAGACATTGTTTATTCTCCTCAGCCCTGAATTCCGTTACCAACAGCTTTATCAAGATTTAACTTTCTATAGAATGGAACTCTCTCCCAGATTCTCGTTAAACATCCTCCAGATGATTTCTCTCTCTCTCTCTCTCTCTCTCTCACTCTCAATTTTTATTTTTATATATAATTCAATTCGCTTAATTAATGACGTTGGTAACTAGCGAAATTGCGAGGGATCAACAAGGTAATATATGAAAAAGTAGAGTCAACGAAACCAAATATATATAAACTGCCCCTTAATCTTAAACAGTTTACTTAAATAAACTGAATTAAACAAAAACGTCCTGCTTTCCATCTATTAGTCTTATTTTCCCATCATCATTGCTAATATTTATTTTTGTTAACTCTGTTTTGTCATATATTACTTCGTTGATTCCTTGCAATTGCTACCAACGTCATCAATAAAGCAAGCTTTCAATTTAATTGAAACAGACGCATTTCCTGATTGACCGAAAACTCTTGTACTCAGTCTCGTTTGTTGTGAGCACTTGCGGGCGCCCGCTAACGATGTGTGTTTTTTTTTCATTACTCAGATTCTCACTGATCACTCCGACGAAATTTGGGTGTGTGTGTGGAGTCACGACGGTCTTCGGTTGGCCACAGGTTCAAAGGACTCCTACGTGATAATATGGCAAATGAACCCCCAAACGCGCGAACTAAGTCGGCAGATGAGCCTGGACGGTCATACATTCGGAGTCAGCTGCATCGCTTGGAGCCCTGATGATTCCATGTTGCTTGTTTGTGGTTTTCAAGGCTCCGCGGATTTGTGGATTTGGAATACAATTGTGAGTAACGTACTATTTAGTATACGGCCTACGAGCACGTCGCAGCGTTGAATTGCTAGTGTCATGCTATGTTATAACGGTGATAAAGAAATTCATTTAGTATTTACACAAATATATGTCGTTAGCTGAAAGCAGAATCGAACATTGTATTATCTTGAATCTTCTTTCTAGCTTCAGACTGAGGGGCTTAAAGTTGCGTTTTATTTTGCGAGTTTGATGCCCCAATGATAATTTTTTAGCTAGCAAGTACATTGGTCTATCTTTGTAATCGCTGTATCATACGTTTAACCGCTTCATTAGTTCTACTATCGTTTCATCATTACCTTGTACGTACTCATTTTAGGTCTATACTCATGTACAAATTCGAAAGACTTTTTTACAAACATGAAACGCATGCGTATGGTACTGTGACTTCACTTTCAGTCGGGAGAACTTCGTTGCAAGATGAGTCATTCAGCTGAAGACAGTCTGACCACATGCGCGTGGCAAGCTGGCGGAACCAAATTTGTTTGTGGGGGCACCAAAGGACAGTTTTATCAATGTGATATTTCGGGACAAGTAATGTTGTTGATTTCAATTTACCCATTGTAATTTCTAATAATTAAATGCATATATTTATATATGAAGTCGCCAAATGAATGATTAAAAAGCTTCTTGACGATTCATCAGTTCTGTTAGTGATTCTGATTAATGTTCTCGACCTGTTTTTAATTTTTTTTTTAATTCCGTTGATATGCGGCGCCAACATTACAGGTGCTTGATCACTGGGAGGGGGTGCGACTCCAAGGTCTTCAGTGTCTCAGCGATGGACGAACCGTTCTTGGCGCTGATAGCCATAACCGTATTAAGGGCTATAATTTTGACTACATGCAAGATGAGCACATGTAAGAACACGACTAATATTTATTCCTAGATCCTCTACCTATTGTTGCACCAATAACAGTGATGGTGTTGCAGAAAGTTGGAAGAACTTATGATAATAAGTTCTTCCAACTTTCATTCCAACTTCATTATCATGAATTATCGACACTTGTTAAATGATAAAGCGAATAACTAAAAAATTGACTAACATTCCAGTTTGAAAGGATTAGTGAAAGACACTAGAAAAACAAAATATTTACTATAAAACTAGCAGGTAATGAGTAAAAGATAAGATACTAATGGTAATTCAAATATAAATATGAGAGATTTAAACTATAATCTTTTTTACGATTGTTTTTGTTTAATATATTGAATTCTGCAATTTTTTGCAAAACAGTATTTAGCCCTTCGTTGTCCCTTTATATTCTAATCTATGTATACTTGTTTTTACTTTGAACTCTTTTTACTTTTAACATGGTCTTTATTTTATTAAATTTAAAGGCTGTCGTATTTTGAAAGTACATCTACTTCAAAATTCGAGTTCGAAATAAAATTTTATAACGTGGATTAAACAGCGTTGGGGAAGGCTGGACAGAATTTTAAGAGAAAAGACAAAAGGTAAAACTAAAAATAGAGATAAAGAACAAAGAAATCAGAAAAGTCCTGCAGCAGTTCCTCAGCAACATGAAGTTCAACAGAACTAGACACGAGAGACGTGTAGGTAAAGAGAAGGAAATGGTAGAGGTTACTTTCGAGGAAATCATAGGTTAGCGTACTAATAATAAGCGTATAAAGCTGCGAATATGTTCCTGAAATGGACGGTATATCACCAGCTGCCACTAAACTCAAGGAGTATCCAAAACTTCTTGCAGAGGTTTATTTCCTAGATGATGCCATAGAGCGACCTCCCAGAGCAGCGGAAAAAAAGAACTGATGCTCATTCAACCTAGACTGTATTTTTCGGTCAGTCTGTCTCCTGAAAATTTTGGTCAAGAGTTCCCAGGTTACCCTAGAGGTATGATTGCGAGGCATTGCCGGGGACTATTGACTTCTCTGATTGAACGTGCAATATGGCTTTAGGAAAAAATTTGGTCTCAAATACGATTTTACAGGATTATATCAAAAGAAGCAATAACATCAGAATATTAAGACTTTCTAAGAATCTTGTTGTACGTGAAAAACACCTTCAACAGTCTATTTTAGAGGTTAGTCCTAAACAAGCTAAAAAAATTAGACGTCACACCTTGCAGCCATGACCTCCAAGTGTCAGGGAAATCGACTGCAACGTATCAATATTTTCTATGACGGCTAGCGTTTGACGATCGGGCCACTATTGTAGAACATTGCCTACAAAACATTGCCTGGGGTACTTCGCTTGGAAAACCTGCTGGATGTAGACCTAATAACGTGGGCTGACAACTTGATGTTAACAGTTGGCGCACAATGCCTCCAGGAGTTATAGGCGCGAGCTAACGTTCGCCAAGGTTTTGATGTGAATGAGTAACAGTGGTCTTCCTTTAGTTCCTTAGTTCCTTCCTTTAGTTAGTAGTCAAAAGCTAGCCAATTCTACTGATCGAATCAAAAAGGTGCCCAAATATCCAGTTCTCTGGCAAGAGAAGAGATAAGGACCGTCAAGACAGGTCGCTATTTGGCCTACTTGGGTCGTACCAAGCGCGGAATCCTCCATGTAAAGGCGGCGTCAGAAGAAGCAACTGAAACCACGACCAATCTAATTAAACTTTTGCCTAATATAGACAGAATTAAGTGGTAAGACGATTGCTGATGTCTGTAATGGAACAGATTACGCGTCTCGGAGCGTTGGTCTTCTTTTACTTAATCGACCAAAATCCAGAAAGCCTAGCTGCGTAAAATACAACATATCGCCGTGTTAAGGGTGGTACAGACTAACAAAACTAGCTGCGATTACCTTAGGCGTCATAGTTCTGCCTAAGTACATTTTCCTGAAAACTTAAGATATGTGGAAAAAGGAAACTTTTTAAAGACCATTTGTACGTTAAGCATCACTGGGTGGTGAACATGGCGAGATAAATAGAAGGCAATTCCAAATAGACGTCTCGGTGCAAAGCGAGCAACGTTACATCAAATATTAGTGACTGGATGACTAGTCCGCGCGAAGACTCGATTTATTGTATAACACAATTTCTCACCGGGTATGGCGAATTTCAGGCCTTCCGTCACAAAATAAGTAAAACATTTTTCGCAAGCTGCATTCATCACGTTATGGGAAACGAAGATGATACCTTTTAGACGCTCGTCAAATGTGAAACATTCAAATCGATGAAGACTAGGGCAGCGAAGCTAAACCTGCGGTGTGCGGTGAAATGTGGTTCCAAGGATTCGTACACAGATTTACTAATTATAAAAAAGGGAGTTACCCTGGCCAAAGAACCTTTCAGCAGGTAAATTGGGCGCGCCGAAGTGAAGAACTTCGGGAAACACAGAAAAAAAAAACTATCGTGAGAAACAGAAAAGATAAACTGTCGTGTAGGAACAAGCGCGTCGAGGGGTGAACGAACCTGCGAAACAAATGGCCGACATACCCAATAGGCTCCTTCGAGTCACCAGGAGCCTACTGGGTATGTCGGCAACCCGTAGCAACCCGTCGTACTGTTAAATAAAGAACCGAGCCGGTTCAGAGCGATGCTCAAAAAAGGAATTGAGAACTAATGGGAGGTGGTCTCGGCAGAAATAGATTCAGCCGTCGGGGCTGAATCCCACACTAAGCCCTTCTGAAAAGGGCTTTATTCTGGTGGTGCACTTACGCAAAAGTGTTACTTTAATCCTCTTATTCCAATATTTCGCCCTTTATATACAACATTTGGTCATTATGCATGTTTAGTATGTAATTATTTGGTAAACAAAAAAAAAATAGAATCGATAAAATATTAACGAAAGGTTTTATGTATAAGATTTGAAGCGTATCATTAATGTATAGTACTCGCGAGCAATGTATGTATGTTATTTCCGATATGTTCATTCCTAGTTCTCTTGTGCAATCAAGAAATGTATGCCTATATTGGTTGTTTGTAATCCTCGAAGTTGACGTACGGGTTTGTTTTTACTGTCGTTCTTTCAGAGTGGTAGAAGATCACTCGATTATGTCGTTCTCGGTGGACAAAACTGATCGATTTGCCTTGATAAATCTTTCGCACCAAGGCATACATCTATGGGACATTCGTGACAAGACTCTACTCATGAAATTCCGCGGCATGAGTCAGGGGTATTTCACCATTAATTCGTGCTTCGGTGGTGTTGATGAGAAATTCATCGCATCCGGCAGTGAAGGTGAACAGTATCACTTTTCTATTACATTCTTTGTCGGTCGTTATGTTCTGTATTTTTATTCTTGTTGCAGAACAAGCCAGCTAGCCAAGATTAGTAACTCATCAGTGATAGCCATATAATGGTTGTACCATAGGTTCTTACCTGATTTGTATTATCACATCACACTTCAAATGAACATAATATCATCAGTATATCTGATTCTCGCCTTTCTTTCTATTCTGAATGTACTTCTCCGATACAGACAGTAACGTGTACATCTTCAATCGTTGCAAGGAAACACCGATTGCCACCCTTGAAGGTCACACATGCACCGTGAATTGTGTTGCATGGAACCCTCAATTTACCGATATCCTTGCATCTGTATCGGACGACGCCACTGTACGTATCTGGGGGCCTCTTGACCCGTCCAGGCAGCCCCCGGCGCCATCAACGCAAGTGCCACACGGCCCTGTTCACGATGGCATTTCCGGAACGCGAGACAGTTCCCCTCGGCCTGACAGGGACTCTTCGCACGCCGGTGGCCCAGCCGGACAAGGTGACCGAACGCACGAGATTATCGCTTTCGTCTGACTTACGAACTTCCGTGTACTCACTGATGATGAGTGTATGTGAAATCCAAAGGAAGGGAGATAAACAGAGAGGAAGCGTGGGAATGCCGCTGAAAATGCAGAAAAGAGCTACGTGCAATGAACCAGGAAGCACAAACACAGGCACAGCAGACAGACTGCACCCCCGCCTGCCTCGCGATGATATCAGATCATTCTTTGCATTGACCTGACTGACCTTTGAGCGAATAACCGTCTGAAGATAATCGATCCCATTATATATGCTTTGTTCTTTGGGCTTAAGCCCAATGTCTGTTTCTGTGCATGTGTATGTATGTTCATAACAACGATGCCATAATATCCTCTATCAGAAACGGTACACGGAAATAGATGTATTGGGTATTGTCATACCTGATACGAAAATCTCTTAGCTATCCTGAGCGAGTAATGAAACAGACAACGTGCAAGTGTGGCAAAAAGTATACTCGCACAAAATTTAGATCTCGCAGTCTGCTGATTTTCACGCCGCGGTAACTTTAGAAATAACCAATTATTTGTCTATAGGTTCGGCTCCACAATTTCGCTCGTTTTTAAATCCAATAACATTGAATCGTGTTGTTGTTGTTGTTGTTGTTGTTTCTGTCGGTTTGTTAAGTGCTTGTATGCGTCGAGTCGAAGTAAAACAGATTGGCAGAAGTCAATGAGCAGGTGTCAGCATTAGAGCTCTGGAGGTTTCAACAGTTTCTTCAATATGTATACGAATCGATAACTGAGCTATCTGCCATCGACGATAGAACTTGTTTTTAATCTAACGCTGGTCATAAACTTCGGTCGAATTGATCGAAAGCTAAAGATCAACCTGAAATCGGTTCGATTTATCACGGTTGAATTTACGATTTGACAGCTTTTAATCTTCCACGAGAGACAGTGTGCGCTGTGTTCGAATGAGCAATACTTCCGTTTGTTTTTGTTTACCCAGTCCTGATACATCGATTTCGAAGGATCGGGTGGATGGAATCAATGTGAAGTTCCGTATCCCCTTTCCAGTTTGCGGGCGTACAGCGAAGTACGAGGGCGTCGTTTAGTTGCTTTGGTAGAAGCAACTCAAGGCGTTCTGGTTCGAGTCCCTTTACTCCCTCCTTCCGAGTATATCTGTCTGCGCAACGAAGGTTCTATGCTAAGCGTGAAAACAAGTTCAATAACAGAGCCAAACAAAACCACTTCAACTTCATGATAATGTCTTCAAGATACAAACTAATGCGGGGTGAATATCTATACGGGTGGTATGTGATAAGCTGATCAAAGCAATGAAATTACGTCCGTAGATAGATAGGTTACTATTTTTATGATTGCAAAATACACGGTACGATAGTAATATCTTGAACGAACTGTTTCAGGGAATTCAGAGGCGACACTATTCTTTTGGGAATAAATAATAGTAGTACTGAAGCAGTCTTAAGAATCGTACCTAAGCAAATCATATTTACCCCTTGTTTATCAGCATCACCACCATCATCACCACCACCACCATCATCATCATCATCACCACCACCACCACCACCACCACCACCATCATCGTCGTCATCATCATCATCATCATCATCATCATCATCATCAGTGATAGATAATAATGGCATTAACATACTTGTGTGACGACGAGTGCAATCATTGTGTGATTTACATCGAGTGATCAAACGGTTGTTTAATTGACATTGTTACCTTCATGTCAAGTAGCTCCTTCATTTAAATGGACAGTTATGTATATATATCTCCAGGGTGAAACAAAGTTCACTTGACAGCGAGAGCGGGAAACGTCAGGGGACTTTTGACCACCCTGTTAGTATATATATTGGTTAGCCGGATTGAATAATAGGCAACGTGTTTGTCAGGAGCCCTCCAATGGAAAATAACATTGGAAGGATATGTTGCAAGAGCAATCAGATCATTACGTCAGTAACGTTGATACAGTAATGACGACACTGCTGCGATGGAAATATTGGCAATCAGTACGAGGCTGGTTGAAGTCAGAAATCTTCTCCATTTGCGAGTTGGCTTATAGTTGGACAGTTAAATGTACGAGTGTATTTTTCGTGTGTTTATATATATATATATAAAATATCGGTCTGGCTGTATGATGAGCGGTAAAGTGGTGTATCCCGTTAAAATTGTGTGATGACGCGATATATGGTGTGCATGCTTGAGCCTAGTTAAAATTGCCTGTAAAATTTAACCGAATATTCAAACAGTAATTATGATCATAATTAGATTAGATAGCCGACTCAATCAAGCAGACAAGGTGAGATTTTCGGTGTTTGGTACCTGTCGTGAGACGACGCTGCCAAGCTATAATAGTTATTAGGTATTCTAGACAAACACCCATTGACAGCTTAGAACGGGCAAAAACGCATCCGTTTTTACTACTAATGGCATATTAAATTATGTGATACCTTACAGTAGCTACATGTAATGACAAGTACATACGCGGGTGAGTGTATTATTGAGGGCTTTAGAAAGACGAGTATCTTGCAGACGTACGATGGGAGCGTTACTGAGGTAAACGTTAGAAAGCAAATAGACATAAAGCATTGTGTGTTAGTTACAAGGCAAATTGGTAGTGCTAAAGCATGTAATTGGCTTAGACTATACGTCTTGTTCACCCGGCAGAAGTAGATACCTTGTAACACGTCGGCCAATCTTGTTAAATCTACGACTATAGGCAGGAATATACCAAGAAGCAAGGAAGAACTCGACTCGAAGGAAAGAAATACAACAATTTATTATATGCCATACAGGAAATACCACAACAATGAATTAATAGTTCCTTAAGTATATGATTATGACCGCTCAGATATTGATAGCAACAACAGACAAATATTAATCACAACAAATAAGATATGCTTATTTAATTATAGGCGGGCCCAATGTCAAGAGGGTTGCTTAAATAGGTCTAGCATCTGTACCAATTATTACAATATATATATATATATATATATATATATATATATATGCAGTAAACAAATAAGCAACATATATAAATAAACTCAAATTAGAGTGTACAACGTTTCCTGATTGACCTAGTCATATGAAGAGGGTATCCCGCTTCTAACAGGATTTTTTTTGGGCACCATTCCAACATTATATATCAGGGGTAATTATGGAGATACTTTCAGGTACCGAGAAAAAGGTCTTCTACACGAGCCTCATAACAAGTAATCGTTAATGCGAGCTGGCTTCCATGAAAATTTTCACCGGTTTCAGGTTTCGTATCAGACGTGTATTACACCGAGTGTAATCCTAAGGCAAGCTTTGTTTACTATTTTCGAGCGCCAGGCATAGAGATCAGGTGAATCTACCTGATCATATATAATAATCCTAGATGCTTACCTGTCTTTGACATCATTCAGTAACCGCGCATGACGTTAGCTAACTGTCTGTAAAAGGAACGCCTCCAAACCGTTCGCTAAAACCCTTAACACCTAGAGATTATCTTCAAGTCTTTCTGGACTACTGAATTACGCCGTAGAGGTTGTCAATATACCACTCTTTTAGTCGAAGATTTTTCACAAAAATGAGCCGAGTCCGAAGCGGTCCAGCTAACTGCCTACGACCACATGGAGCCACTCGTTGGCGGCCACTTATTTATTCAGGCTGCGTTCTTTTGTATTCGGAATGCCAGTACCTTGCTCGTATGACGCTAAAGAGCGGGGAATTGAAAGCGTGCTAACAAATGTGGATATTCTGTTGCGGTGAATATCGACACATGGCCTGTTCTATGTGTACTTATCGGGTTTAAACAAAAACATTTACGATTTATTTACATAGCCCATAGATTTACATACAGCATTATTACATCTATCTAAGATAATATATCTTGTGAAAAAATACTGGTAAGACAGGAACGTCTACTGCATCTTAACCTGACCTAACCTAACCTAACCATATGCAAGTCTTTTTATGTTGTTGCATCGAAAAATATTGAGCTCATCATTCAAGTGTTTTGCAAATTAAATAATACAATCCATTGAAGAAAATTATAATAACATTTCAATTGCTGGCGGCACCGATTTGTTGGCTGAGTAAAGATTGAGCAAGAAAGCAATAAGCAACCGATAAGAACTACCCTAACAATTTACCCAAAGCAATTCAGTAGAATATCAAGTGATTACGATGATCCTGTCCATTGATCATTCTAACTAATAGCTGTCATGTTTCTTTGTTCGTGTTTTTCAGAGGAAAACTTCAACGGAAATCGTCGTCCATGAAAAAAATAGCAACACAATACTTAATAGTTATAATAATAATAATAAAGAAAATCAAACTAATGATTATGCGGGACATTGTCGTCGTACGACGATGTACGGTATGGCTTGAGAGAATAAGGATGAAGTTATATGACTGAAGACACCAAGGAAATCCATATATATAGATGTATAAAAATACAGTTCTGATCATTATACGTAAGCGTACCTTACATCGCAATTGGGTGCTTGTGTGTTCTCATTGAAAATGTCAATTAGTAATTAGAAAATATTATGCTTTATATGCAGATGTAATTCGTCCTATTGTTAGTTGTTGACAGTGCGTGCGCAACTTGGTAAAAGAAGGTACTTCGAAATGAAGTAAATCTGCTTGCAAACTACACACTTTGTTTTTATCTTTGTGTTCGAGATCTCTGACCCCTGCTTGAATCCCGCATCCATGGATCTCGACCCATCTGCTCTGTTGAAAGTTATTCACCACCAAAATGAACTGGAAGTTGTCCTTTGTTGTATTATTGAGATGCAATTCTTAAATACATTCATAAAACGATTATGACAATGGTATCTGAATTATACTTTGAAAGGATATCGAAGATGCTAACGAACTAAAAAAAAGACCTCATTAATTATTAAACAGATCTTTTATTATAATTATTTGTTATTGACTTGAGAGCATCGGTTGCATTACATATTTTTATTTCATTTACAGATAATTAAATCCGATCGAGCACCAATTTCTATGCGCGATTAACTCCTTAGGTTAATTAGGTTGACGGCTATTCTGTTAATAATTCCTTTTTGTGCGCATTTAAAAAAAACACAACGAGAGGTAAAAACATATCAGGTACACTCAGGTCTGCCCTCCTATGCAAAGAAGTGATAGCAATTGTTTGTTGCTACTCCACGTTATTTGTGAAAGTAATTCGCTCGATAATCAACTTAACCCCTTTAACTACCATAGCGACGAGCATACGAGGTTGGTGAAACTGAACGGAAGGTTGACCGTTCGGTTTATTACTACTAAGTAAAGCAACGGTCGAATAGAACAAAAACGCCAGAACAACCACGACTAACGCTCACTGTCGAGGGTCATGTACCTCGCAAATTTCTGTAAAAGCTTCGATTGGTTTTCGAATTCCTGGGCTTTTTCCAAGCTTTGCTCGATTAGCTGTAAAATCACAAGCAACCGCATAGATCGACATGATAGAGAACACCGATATGTATTTGACAACTATACATATGATACCGCAGAATTTACAAAGACTCATAGATTTTAAGAAATTTTCTTGGCATGGGTTGTTGAATTAATCTGTGCCCATGTTTATACTAGTTTGCTGACAAAAAGATTTTGCAACAATTTACCTTGGGTGAAACACCTGCCAAACGAGCCGCGTTGAATCCAAAACTCTTTTCGCAATTTCCCTCGACAAATTTATATAGAAAGACTACCTCGTCTTCGCGTTCAACGACGTAAGCCATATGACCTTGTCGAACGGAAAACTCAACAATATTAGACAAACGCTGGTCTAGTTTTATGAAAATTTTAGGAAATAGCTATAGCTGTACTAGGGAGAGCAGGGCAATTGCTATTAGTAGACGATGTTAAATAGCTTAACTAAAATCAAACGAAAAGTGAGTAAGGGAAATCAGGTGTTTAATGAGGCCGCCGATGAAGCAATATACAGTCTTCAGTGATACAAATCAAAAGAAGGAATGAGAAGAAATTTTGGAAAATAGAAAGTGCATACTTAGGCACATATGGACTATCTACCAACAATTTCTTACCAAGGAAAACGTCTCGAACGTCCGAAGCAAGCTCGTGATAATGTGTAGAGAAAAGAGTGCGCATTTCATGCCCCACCAAGCGATTTAGAACTGCATAAGCAATAGAAGCTCCATCGTGTGTGGCAGTTCCTCGACCCAGTTCATCCAAGAGAAGCAACGAATGTCGAGAGCCGTGTTTGAATGCAGCCGATGTCTCCAGGAGCTCCACCAGGAACGTCGACTCACCTAGTAGTGTTTAAGATAAAGAAATTTGTAACAGTAATTCAATGTATGTCAGCCAGTAAAAACAAATCAACAATAATACTATAAACACTTTTTGAAATATACACAATAGCGTACCAAGGGTGATATGATCAGAAGCTCCAAGTCGGGTAAACACACGATCGACAAGGGAAAATTCCATTTCGTCGGCCGGGACCCATGCGCCAAGCTGAGCAAGCACAGCCAATAGACCGACCTGAAATGCACGGTTATACAAGGGACAGACAAATAGCTTCGACCAATCTAACAGACATTAATGCAACTTCAGTTCTGTTTGCCATATACTGCAATGTGCTAATACACATCAACTAATTACGCCTTGTTTAATTTTACTAGCTTAGTACTCCATGTCGGCAAAAACTAAATAATAAATTATAGTAAATGAACAAGTGCTTTCTGCGGCTTTACGCAACTAACCTGACGCATGAGCGTAGACTTTCCGCCCATATTGGGTCCGGTTAATAGAGCCACAGAGCTGCCGTTGCAACGGCCCTATAACACAGGGAATGCACCTATGTTATTTGATTCCGTAACTGATTTCTTCTGTTAGTTACATAAGAAGGTCTAAATGTGTAATACAAATATCTCTGCATTACGTAACGTTATAAAGCAAACCTTTTCCTGGATGCCGAGGGCAAAATCATTAGCGATAAGCTTGTTCGCTCCGAGGACCTTTAGCAGGCACGGATGAGAACCGTTTTTGATGCGCATCATGGGCTAAACAGAAATAATCAATATATCATTACAAACAATTACGAGTCGTGATAAACAACAACTCCCATAGTAATGGTAAAGCATTATATGTCTACTTAAGCTTTAACTCAAGGCTGCTGACTACCTGGAAAGAAGAACTATAACCAGGCTATTGAAAACGACCGTTTGAAGATCCGTCATCTGCGTACCTTGGTATCGTTAGCGGCAGAAACAATTTTCGGTCTGCAAACTGATCCGCCTGCGTTTAATCCGTACAGAGCTAGAGACAGAAGACAGTCCAGGACGCAAAGACATTCGATGGCCTAAGAATAAAAAAGAAAAAAACAAATTTTAAATCGTCTAAAAAAGCCAGTAATAACGTGGTTTCCATGTGGGCCCACTTCAGATTAACTAAAAGACAATATCGGGGCCTTGCATACCCTGAGAAGATAGCTCAACGATAGCTTTTTTTTTAAAATCTGCTTAATATGGCTGACCTACCTTAATAATATTCTTAGGACGTTGCCACAAAAGCTAACACGCTTTACTGAAGTATAGTTTCTGGATATAAAAAAAACACAAAAAATTACTAATTGGTTGCAATTAAATTTTTTGTTACTGGTATATGTACAAAGATGTTTACTAAGCCGATGATGTCTAAAATCATTGGTCAAGCCTCGTTATTATTTCTGAGAGTGCTTACCTTTTTCCATAGGGGCCTCCTCTCATCAAAAGCTACAAATATTCTCCTCATCATATCCTTTCCTGCCGCTTCACGAGCGTCCTGAGCTTCTAACAATTTTGCACAAAATCGCTCACTTTCCGCTGTCGAGTAGCGTCGAAAGCCTTTTCGTTGACCTGCAACAATAATAATTATATACATAATACAGATGCAATGCAAGAGTACACAAGACTGCTTCGCGGTTAGCCTACGAAGCAGTTGCCTTACAAAACCAAACGTAAGAATCAATTGGACGGCTTTGATTTTTTTCCCATATCAACGTTCATAATAGCAAACAAAGCGGTCCAATATAAACTAGACAAGGTACGTCCACCAAGCCTATGTGCAGGTTTGGGGCAATTCATGAGCTTTTACGTGCCAACGAAATAATGACTGGGCCACACAGATACTTGTTTTGGAATTGGAAGTGATTAGATAATGATATACTAATAATAAACCTATTTCGATTATGAGCCCCTTGCTCATCGATATATGCCGAAAATACTCATTATGACATATTTAAGTACAGAGATGACTGTATGTATATATATTTACGATAATTAAAACTAGTCACCATCATTTTCTCACCTTTGAATATGTGCTTCGAGGGATCCGCCTTTGAAGCCGCTGTTTCCGGAACCTCAAGTTGATACGCTGTTCGTCCAGTGCCTGTATACGTCACCTGTTGATTCAAGGATCATACGTATCTGTATATAATATTACTGTCTAACAACATCGCTGGACTAAAAATTTCATAATAATAATAAAAGTTAAATTATTTCAGCCCGCTTTCAGGTGGCATTGAGATTATGTGAGGACAAAATCTGAAAACATTATTTGCATATTCTACCCATTTTGCGTGTGCTGTTTGGCATAAATTGCCCACTACAGACCTTGGTCCCAAAGTGCTTGATTTGCAGTTTCAAATGTTCATCAAGTTCGTCCTTTATTTTGTTGACCTGTTCCGTCGCATCATCGAATTCTGCATCCACTCCAGCAACCGGAGTGATTTTGCCCTCTTTCAGAGCCTTTTTCTGATCAAATGCCCGCTGGAACACAAGTCACCCGTGCACTGATTATTCTCGACAGTTCATCTATACGATAAGTTTTATGAATCCAACCACTAGAGAAGAATTTTTCGAATTGAGAAAATGCAAAAAATACATTTTCGGAAAGCTAATATTTTTATTTTAAAACGGCAATTCATCCTAAATACAGAACAGCCAAATATTTGAGTAACGATTCCTTCAAACAAGCAGGTTTGCCGTGAATCAAGGATATCTGCGGCTGTTTCAATTGGATACAGAAGATGAATATTTAGTTTTTTTTTAGGTATACCTTAATGAATATCTACTATCACAAAGCATCGAATCGATACATTTATGTAAAAAGCGGGTAAACCTCAAAAAAATCGAGAGCATCCTGCAAGTCGGGGAATTGGCCACCGTTTTCTTGTTTCGTGACTACACTTTTGAGTAAAGACGACTTCAGATTCACTTCCTGAAAGAATATAATGGGTACATGTGCATATTACGTATTAGCCCTCAACAACATACACGAAATACCAGGCTATATCTTCTCATCCACAGTATGCATACAATGGCAAACCCTGTGTATGGCTGACAAAAAGTTGGTTTAACCACGCCGTATTAGAAAAATCTCTGTGATGCTTTATCCGAAATTTTTATCAAAAATTTATCCAGAAGTTCACTCGCCTTCAACATTGAATGAGAAATGTTTGAATAGGCCTGAGTACGATCGAAAAATGTAATGTTGGTAAAACGTTACTAGTTTATTACCTTGAAAACGTCACAGATTAAAAGAGAATCCTGGAATCCCTGCAGCACCTCAATAAACTCCTCAATTTTCTTCTTAGCGAACAATTCACTGTTGTATATGATAGCTCTCGAATCTGGATGATTACCCTTTTGAAAAAAGAAACGTTGGTTAAAGTATTTACTTCGTTAGACCAAGATCTTTCAAAAGGAAATGTCATTGTAACTCATAATTTTTAGAGCCCTTAATATTCCAATGGAGATTAGTAGTCAATTTTCACGTTAATATTTTACAACTATTGATTTTTATCATGGTATGCTGAGTCTTTTAAAGTCCACTCTACGCGGATCCCGTAACGGTTCTATATTACTTTCACTGTGACAGACTTCAATGCGCTGGAGTATCAGTCGTGTAGTACTACCTTTTTGAGACTGAGCGAGTGAATTCTGGCGAGCATCTTATCCATATCTGGAATCTTTCGAAGTCGTTCTTGAACCTTTTTGGCCACTGAATTATTTGACATCAGATCACCAACAGCATCCCAACGTGACTCAATCACATCGGCAATACATGATGGGGCCAGTAACCATTTCTTCAGTTCACGTAATCCTGTCAACAAACGAAGAACAGAACTACTAATAAAAGAGTGATATCATATACTTTTGAGATTTTTTAAATCTCAAAAGTGTATGATATTATTTTTAAATCAGCCACTTTTTATATATTTACGTTCGAACTGGTCACTTTCATGCCATCTTTAAACCCGTACCACCTGCTTAACTCAGCGTTGCGTATGTCAACTTGTTTCGAATAAGGCTTGATAAACACAGAAGTAAACACATGTTTCTTTCTTTAGGGTATTAATTTGCTCATTATCATACCGAATGGAGTAGAACAGAAGTTTATTGTAGATAGCAGTGACCCCTCAGATGATCCACAACTGTTTTGAAAGATTTCAAGGTTAGTTAGGGCAACAGAATCCAGAATCATCACCTAGAATGCCGTTAAAGATAAAAAAAAAAACAGGAAACCGATATAAATGTTTAGTGCCCTTTTATTAAAGGAAAAGTTAAACCTAATTATTGTGACAAAGCTCAAGATTAGATACCTTCTTTTACAACAGGTTTTGTTAAATTGATTTTTCTGATATCGTGCATTATTTTTCATGTATCCAATGTTTTAGCCGTTACTTTTACTATTTTCTGTTTTGGGATTTTCCTTAATCATAGTACACGTAATGGGCATGCTTAATTACTTCAAATGTCATTACCTTCGGCAAGTACTGGCTGGAGCCACTTTCATATTTGAACTGAATGGGCTCGACGTCGCCCATGGTAAGAACGTCTTCGAGAAGGAGTGCCTCCTTAAGGCTATCTAGAATCGCAGCTAAGGACTGAACCGCTAATTCGCAGCCTTTCCGTGGGGTGGACATTAAAGGATCATCTTCACTAAGCAATGTCTTCAGCCCTATCGGGTACTCCTTTTCCTTGAAGTAGTTACCCTCACGGATCATCGTGAGGCATTGCTCGGGCGTCATACGGTTCCGGTCAACAATTATTTTTGCACCGATAGCCTCCACAATAAGCTTTACGTCATTATGGCATGTTCGTTCGAGGAGCGCCTCAACTGGCGTAAACTGGCTTACTAGAGTGCGCAGACAAGACAGCTGGTGATCTTCTTCGAACTCGCCCACATGCAGACGGGCTACGCTTGTATCCACCAAACATACACCAAATCGTTTTCCTTTCTGCCTTACGGCAAGAAGATATGAGGTACCCGAAGCTTCCATTGAACCACATAGCTGCAAGCCCTTACTGGAGATCTGGCATACCTCTCTCCGGACAACCTTGTCATATTTCGACGTCTTTCCACCTACAGAAAACAGCACTAGTTTCTGTTATTTCTCTGACCGTACGATGAAAAACCAAATTGGTGAAAATAAACAACGTGAACACAAGGGTGGCGTCGTTACTAACTTGCGTTAGAGGTACTGTACTAACAGGCATTGTAATGTGGAAAGGCACTACTTACTCTTTTTGCATCGCTCCTCCATCATAGTAGGAGTTTCGGTCTGTTCAACACGAGCGCATCGATAACCTTTTTGTACAAGCGCTTCCATATTTCTCTGCAGGGCAATTTCAGGGAAACCTGAATGAGCCCATTCACCCTGCAGAATATCAGCACAAATTGCCCATCAGTTCAGCTCTAAACTAAAGACTGAAGTGTTAAAAGGAAATTCTCCTGCTTAAGACTGAATAGATTATAATAAAGTTCGCAAAAATAGGCAATTGAAACGCACGTTATACGTATTCATATAAACGAACGTGTACAGGCACTTAATATAGCATAGCAATGCTCTATCGTACAAGCCAGCCTTAGCATAAATAACTTTACCTTCATGAATGTTAGTCCGAGCTGTTCTACACCAATAACGGCATCCATGTGGTACAATTCGTAAAATTTTCCCACTTTGAAAAAGAGAACAGTATCAAAGTGGCGAGACTTTATCACCCACCACTGACGCATACCCTGAAATAGGTAACACGTAATTAGTACCACTCCTGGAACGTATATTTCAGGCGTATTTTGGTTTGAAATACATCTTTTTCACCTGAACGTAATTGTAAAACCAAAGGTACAGATTATAAGGCTATGGCAGCCGATACTGACAACGAATTTCAATAACTAGACTTCATTAGATGATGCATTTCGGTTCATCACTTTTGCGTACCGGTGTGGCTTTGTTTAAGTAGTCAGGGGGTACGTAGAGCGTTGTGTAGTCATAGTCGGGATGACTCCTTGGCCTCCGTTCGGAGTCGCGCGGCTCTGTTACGAAGTTCAGCGTAAGATGCAACCATTGGGGAGGGATGCCTACACCAAAAAGGAAATTGCAGTCATAGTCCAGTAAGATCAGTGCACCGTGGTCAATTTAGAAAGGTGTATCCTTTTTTCGTTATCCAGATTTTAGTTAATAATCGTTTATACTGCTGAAACTGCGCACACTGTTTTTCAGAGAATTGCGCCCAAACTTTCTCTTGAAATGAACGGTGAGAGAAAAAGAAAAAAGCATAAGTGAGCTGTGTACGACCTACCGACTTCAGTAGATTGCGAAGAGCCAGATTCCTCTTGAGTTGTAGGTGTTTTCAAGATTGCGCTACGAGAGTGTCGAGGTGCTCGGCGGGACTAAATCGATAATTTGTTAGATCAACAAATGGAACGCTTTAAATATATCTAGCACCGTACGCGTGTTAAATTTACGTCTTTCTAAGAGACGCGTGCTTCAATTTCAAAACACAGCTTTTACAGGCATACTGACAAGTGAATTTTGTGATATAATAACTAAACGACTCAGATCAACTACCTTTTTAACCGGCGATTCAGCAATATCTTCGTCATCATCATCGTTTTCCGTAGGCGGTTCAGGCTCCATCTCTACGTCACCCTCTGGTTCACTATCAGACGAGTCGTGTCCCTTTTCCGATCCGTCACCCGGCGGAATGTAATCATCTCCAGAATCGACATCTTCCTCCTCGGAGCTCGGCAGCTCTTCAGCCCAGTCATCGGTATCGTGTTCCTCCAGGCGAGCTCGCTTCTGTTTTGAACAGAATTTTACTGGTGAATTGCTTTATATCATCTCCGTTTCTCAGTTCAGTTTAAATTTGTAACCTTTTTCAGATAGACACCGAAAGCTACCAAAGTTATTTCAGTTTAGCAAAGTGTAGTCGGCTTATGTAACTAAGAATAAAAGTACTGTGGGCTTGAAATTGACAAACATGTACATATTTGGTCCATGAATTTCGTTTTAAGAACAGCGTCTTTCGTACAATATAGTTACCTATACTATTATTATCGGAAAAGTAATATTCTGATACAATGCAGCAGTTAACACACTTTTAAACTAAGGGGACCTTCTCCTATAACTTCGAGAATATCAAATAAAGAACAATTGTCAGCATCATTAAGTGTCAGAGTTTCTTGGATACTTTGCACTACTAACGTTAAATAGCTCAATATGTGTTTACCTTAGGTTTTTCCCCATTGGCAGGCTTTAGTGGCTTTCTTTTTTTCCCATCTTCTTTATTGAACGAGTTTTGCTTCCTCGCGAAAGGAGTATCGGACTTGGAAGTTTTAGCTGATGACTTAGGGGTCGAGTTTGGTGAGTCACTTTTTGCCATTGCCCGTGAAGTGCGTGTTTGCGGCGTACCAACCGTTGGCGTTTTTGGTGGTATACTATTTGCTTCCACAGGCGTATTTTCATTTTCTACTGCACGATTGTTCAGGCAATGCAATTCTAACAATTTTAGGCTTAAGTAATTTTAAACACCCGCCCGAATGGGAATCGACACGTCTTACATAACAATGCATACGTATGATCCTAAGAGATGTGCATTCAGCAACATGTGCTTTTGAATTATATCAACAAATACATATGCTACGTGGGGAAAGTGACACGAACGATGCGAACTGATTATGCCAATTTTTATATATATTTATTTTATTTAGATGACAAAGGTCGAGAATAATCCCCGCCAATAATTATAGATATTACAATGTTCCGTAGTATAATGGTAGGCTTGTTGAAAGCCAGCCTTTCTGACATATGCGACATCGTTTTTGTAAAAAAAAATCGATTACTTATACAAAAAAGGGATAATAAGACACTATATGTTGTTAAAATGTTATATCTCAAAAAGTGCATAACTGGAAATAAAACACCCAAAGTATAGAACGGCTGAAATATTTCTTAGTGTACAATACGCTTTTCATAAAAAAAAAACACAATCAGGGTCAGAATCAGATTTTATGCAACACAATGATGAATCTAAAAACTATAACCCAATAATTTGGAGTATAATTGCTGGATTAGCCTTCTACTTTAAAATAGGATAAACATTTACCTTTTTTGCGCTTGGATGGCGTATCTACTTTTTTGAAGAAGGCAAACAATGTGTTTTGGCTCATGTTGTAGTTATCTCTTCAGCTAGTATTTTTTTTATTACTTCGTAAAACGCCTTTTTATCGCACTACATTCACACAGCATGGAAGAACTTAATTCACCCTAAACTATTTCAGCTGCGGCGCGCAAATTCTGATGTCGAAAACATTATCGATGCGGCTAATATGCGAAGGAACGCAAACTCGTTAAATCATAAAATAAAAAAAATTAAATGGCCCAGTTATAATGTTAACTATTATTATTAAATATTTGCCATGTATTAAATATTGCCCAAAGGAACAATCAGAATCAAAACGACTAGACTTATCTAGAGCTGTTTATTTCTTGCCAATCATTATTATTATTATATTAAATTATATAAAATATATTAAAAAGTATCAAAGAACAAGCATTTCGCAGAGTTTACATTTGAAGGTGATTCGTATCATGAGGATAAATATATAGGGGATTTCTTTTAATTTAAGAAAAAATAAATTTGAAAAATCACAACATGTTTTCCATGGGATTTATCCGGATATCAGAAACAAACCCATAGTTCAGCTGTTTACGAAATCGATTTCAAGAACACGAAATCTGAATGCACGTCTTCAATTGTTTATTAATGCCACGATAGTATTTTGTATATCCAAAGGTACTTAAGACATGCTTGTATTATATTCTCGTTGCATCGATAGCTTTGGGTACATAGGCCCAATATAAAAACATTTTGCAAATGTTTTTATATTCGAAATTCGACCTGGATCTTTTTGTGTACTTTTCGTCCAATAGAAATGCAGAGATATAGCAAACAAAGGCGAACGTATGGGCGAACGTAGTGTCTCTAACAAAAGTGAAGTAATATGAGCTTAATCTTTTCACAAGGTTTAGCCTTGGCACGTATTCGGTTCTTGCCGTGGGATTTTTCTATAAGTGCGCCACGTGGCTTTGACATTATTCGATGTCGCCGTTATGACGAAGGTGTGATGCCCTCCACTACTTTCACTGCTCATTTTCACGCCGGTGCATACAAAAAAGAACGTTAACAACTGTATCATAGCAGAACTGTAGCATAGGAACCATTCTATAGGGCGAAAGATTTATATTGAGCTGTTCCATTCAAGCTATTGAAATTCTTATGAAACTGCCATAATTTTAGAAATACACTACTATGGTAAAATATTTGGCAAACATGGATTATGCAGACTGTTTGCTTTACTTCCATCAAACAAAAGGAAAGTCGATTAACGTTTGCCGGCAATTTTCAAATTTTCTACTCACGTACCCTGTAATTGACGTCAGTGATTTAAGTAGGAGCATTTCGATATCGAAAGACGTCCGGTAAGGTTACTTTACTCCAGACCGTTCAACATCCGAACAAATATAAGGTAGAAAGAAGCTGTTTTGTTTCTTAAGTTGAATTCCTCATGTATTTATTAAACCTTAATATTCCTTCAAGCGCGGATTATAGTTAGTACAAAGACATTTTCATAAATGTGATTGCATCTCTGCAAAATTGCATCTTTTAATCGCATCATTTAGATTATATTCAGCAAAAAATCGTTTGCCACATTCCTGTCCTGGTGTCTTCTGAAAAGCAGCTAGTCAAATGCTGGTTTTAAACTGGTGAAACGGGCACTTAGTCTTGTATGCAACAGAGGCTCCGCTCTAAAATAATAACAGAAGGTTTGCACATGAATCAATCTGTTTAATTTAGATATTAATGAAATTTGCTTGAATACTGAATTTCCTGAAGTAATTTATGGGTGACTGGCATACCAACCGACAGCGCCTATTATAGTGACCCAGCAAGACGCCAATGAACCGGCCTGGGCCAAGTGCCAGAATAGCACAATGTTCTTCAAAGATAAACCCAGACGAAAATCTGGTTGTTCTTTCACATTAAATAACTCAAAAACAACATCTGCAAACGTCGATTTGTCTACTTCTTAGCAGACAGCAAATTTACGTATATGAACGTAAAACTAGTAAATATATAACCGCTCGACAAAATTATGTCTTCGGATCAAACAGTCTGTTTTTTTTACTAGTTTAAATACGTCAGAGTAGTAGTCATCGTTTGATCATGTTTCCGGTTACCTTCTACTCAATGGTTCGTCGGATGATAATGTCTCGCCAAGAGCATATACTTCGATGTGAATTTCGTAATTTTCGTCAATTTAGCTACAGATTAACCCTTATTTTTACGTTATTTTGTTATACCTATAGCGACTATACCGTCGGATTGGCCAATATGCCTTAACCAAATGAAGCTGCGAGTTTTACGCCCGGCACTACCATTAGGTATCCCATCCAACAAGTGGCTCGCAGTGCGATACGCTCTGACATGAAAGAGAACTCATACTCGATTTAAGACATTTGATAGAAGCCTTCGCAGACCAAGTCAGTTTAAGTTGAATGTTCCGCTTCTATTTGATACGCCAATAGGAACAGGAGCCCGAAATACAATATAATAATTTTTTACAGAGAACATTTTAGCCTAATAAACGTCAAATAAAGACTCTACAAGAAAGCACATTCTTAAATAACGCTAGATTCAAAATATGACATGATAAAAAATAGTTCCAATGAACTACAAGAGCGAACATGAATAATAATTAACCCGCCGTATTTTAACATTTTGAGAGTGCCAGCTTAATTCAAATTGGCTAAAATAGATACGTACTCACTGCACTGGTATACAAGCGCCGTTGAAAACGTTACCCTCTTTCAGATTGTTCTTTGTAGTCCATTATACTACTTAGAAAAACCTTCCGTTGATATGCGGTTACTATGTATTAGGTACGTACCTATAGTAATAATGTTTTCGAAAAAGTTTGAATTTTGTCTTACTTCGCAAGTTCCAGTTTTACTTAACGTGTGGAAGATCAATAGGCACTCGTTCTCCAAAGCTGTGCCCTAGTACTTTTTTACACCGTCAAGCTTGTGACTCCATTGAAAATAGCTACACGTGCAAGAATTTGAGTGGTTCGTTGTGTTTCATTGCTTAAATTTTATTACCCGGACAATTCAAAGCTAGAAGGATATTCGTTCGTAAATACTGAAAATACAGCCGAATGGATGTTTCCACTTTTACCTCCTCATTACTAGATACGTGATAATTTTCATCAAATTATAGTCACTGTATGTTCCATATTGAGTCCATTCTACAGAGTCCATATGAGATATAATTTATTGCAAAAATTCATCACTTTCTTTTAAGTCACATCAGGACACATGATGATGTCGCAGCCAATGCAAAAAAGTATGCACTACTCATGCACATTATAATACTAAATCAAATCAATTTTGCCGAATACTTATGTTAGCGTTAACGGTGTTCTAGTAAATATGAAACATCAATGAAAAAATGAAAGCATCAATTTTATGTATTTAAACGTTGCAAACGTCGCCAGATGCTGACCCAGCCTGATATGAACAAATGATTCACAATGATAAATTTCCCGCTAATCGAAGATATTAATAAAAGATTCTGCACTGTATTATTTAAACACAACCGCATATCGTTAGTTGTTGTTTTACAAATTACCGCAGATTCTGAGAACGTATTTGGTTTATTGGTTTAAACATCGTTCTATTCACTTCTACTGTTTCAGGTTTGAGTCCTCCTCTTCAAAAAGAGAATGGCAACTGTTGTGGCGGCATCATCATCACCATCAAAATATCACCATATTCGATACACTTTCTAATAGTCCCATTTTTCAAACATTATTCACATTCCCGTTATCTAAACAGAAACAGAAACATCACGAGGTAGTGTGTTTATTTCTTCGCCCGAATGCGAACAATCGAATGACTCGACATACCAATTTTGGCAGAAATTACGTCAATGTTCATGGTGGTTGTCGTATGCAATACACAATCATCATATCTCATAGCATCTGGGCTATGTGTATAAGAATAAATCTCCATAAATTTTCCATCATTAGCTGTTTGCTTTAACATATAGCTCGCCCTATTATTTATTACACATTGTCGAATTTGCATTATTTCTAGTATTAAGTAATTGGGTTACTTTTCGCTTTGAACAGCTCTCATTGATGATGATGATAAAATTTTGTCTATCAAACTGTTGTTCTCGTTGAGCCCTCCGCCTCCTGCGCGTCTATCAGGATTGATTTAGTAGCAATTTCTGAGTAATTATTGAGTTAGATGTGATTGATCATATATCTTTAATATGGAGTAGGGTGTGTAAAGGGATGCTCGTCGTAAGGGTCAGAGCCCACTCCAGCTTATTCGACTGGGGCGTTGCCCTATCTGTTTATATTTGCGTCTGCCAGAGCTTCGGATCGGATGAATACATTTTTACGTCCAGCTATGCGGCCATACGAGCAGTCACTACCGCAGGATCGATCAATTTTCAGGTTCTAGTTGCTCTGCCTTGCAGACATTAAGTTCGCTCCCCATTCCACCTTCTACCATGAAGTTGGAGAAACGGCGTTCAGATCGAAGTTGGTGACGCAACTGACGGGAACCAACCGAGCCATGTAGGAAGTTCCAGCTTCGGGCGCGGCACCTATTAGTAGGCAGCGAACGAACGGAAAAAAAATAAGATTAATTGCAGGAAAGCACACGCATTAGGCTCAGAATACCGATATCTCCTGAGCGTAATGCGTAGAACATACAGGCTGTAAGACTCGTTGTTTAAATACCTACCTCCTTTGCACTGTGAGTAGCCGAGATCAGAGTTAGCGAGTATCTTTCTGAAGAAGGTGGGAGACTGCTGGGGTGTTACAGTGGGGGTGGTGGCCGCCGATTGTGGAGCAGAGGCAGAAGGGCACACCTGATCTGCACTGGTTCCGGTAGTGGCTATACCGACCGTTGACGGCACCGCGGGAGCCACGGAAAGCGAGCGTGGAGCTCGAGGCACAATCAGATCCCTCGCGCGAAACATTAAGCCGTCAGGTTTTTTGTTCCCGTCAGCCACTGGATAGTGAAAACAGATGAAGTAACCATTTAGTATCAAACAATACCGTCCAAGACAATCACTTACCAAATAGCTGCAGACGATTGCATTTAACAGAGCATTTAGCGAATATACAGTATTGTAATAACTTGTTTTAGCAGAACATCGCATGTCTCATAAATTTCCCATGATTGGCAGCGTCCGATATGACCAGTGTTAGCTGCTCATTGTTGTGCTTGCGAATAGGGATACATCCGCTGAGTCTTTTATTATCCGCTGAGTGTTTTTACATATTTTAGATACAAGAACGTAATTGCTGTTCAATGCACGTTGTGCTCCTTTTTGAGACTTAACAGCTGTAGTATTGGTTGGGGTATACAACCAAAATGGTACCGGAAGTTTTTTTTTAATATTCTTATGTTTTGCGAGTAACATCGGCAGAAAGGCACGTTTCGTAGGCATGGCACTTTATCCAGTTGTTTTCTTGTTCTTCGCGCCAAACGTAATAGTCTTCTTACACAATGATAACTCAATTACGACTAAGTCCGACAAACGTGTTCACCAGTTAACATTGTTTTTGCATCAGTTGCACTAATCTCTTGCTGTACTCTGTTGATCAGCGAGAGTATTTTCATTTATATCAGTTGCCACAATCTCCGCAATCAGTCCGTGTCTCATCTATATCAAACTACCCTGAACCGTCTGGACATATGACTAGACCGATAGAGCCGCATAAACATTTCCAGACATCGATGCCAACGGATGACGAAATGTCTGTCTCTGTCGTAACAACCTGTTATCCACAGCTGGTAAGTTTTCCTACGCCGAAACGCGTCATCCGCTAATACGAGCAAACCGGGACCTAACATAGGTGGATAGCCGTGATAGGGTATGAAGAAACATGTACCTACAATATATCGAGTAGTGGGAAAACATTGTGCTATTGAACACATACGCCAAACGCAGAATACAGAACATTTAAGTAAGCTTGTTAGAAATACGTTCCTTTGAGAGCACGTAATAGTAAGCCAAGAAGCCACTTTGGCAGAATAGGCTAATAAGTAGTGAGAGCTTCCGGACAAAGAAAGAAAATGGTTTACGACGTCAACCGAAACTATCACTGAAGAATCACTAACGAGTGCAAACAGTTGTATGGAGGCAGTATCTCGTCAAATTGCGATTAATCACCATGCAATCTTTCATCAAGAATACATGCAGAGTCTAACAAAACTCGTTGTTTGGGCCGGGCTGGAACCAAGCCAACGGACAGCCAACAAACGATATGAACGCGCACGCGGGGGGGGGGGGGTATTGGCTACGGCAGCAGTAGCTACGTCTGTAGTACGGGTCAGTGAAATAAAAAAACGCGCTCAAAGTCTACTCAAGAAATTGATATATGCAGCTGCCGGACAGGCAGCCTCGTTATTAGAAAAAGGATAAATAACGCAGCCAAACACTTCGATATTTGACAACGGCTTTATCAGTACTCGCGATTTCCGCTGGCACCTATTATAAAGTGCCATCTATTGCTACTAGCGAGGGAATAAAAGCAGGGCAAAGAGTGACAGCAGTTTTTAGATGTTCTGCAGAAAAATTCGAAGACTGAGAAATTCAGTATGATGTTGCCCGTCGCCCATAAGAAGCTACTTCACTTAAAAATCTGCACGGAGTACTTTCGGAATGATCACGCGACATGGTCTTTCGAAAGTACGTCAAGGCACGCGCCGAAGTTATTTTATGAACTGATAATAGTAAATGCGAAGAACGTCAACACCTCGTTGTCGTTTGTGTTAGTCATTAATAACAACTGGCGGAGGTACTGTGCGACTGTCATGTCGTCTAATATTATCGTAAACTCGACATCGGCTAAGCGATGAGCGAGAATTATATGTCGCGAATTGTTGCCTATTAATTAGACTTACCCATCTAAGCATTGTGCTATTGTTTAGATAGAATATCTTTCCTTTACAATCAAATTTCGTAGAAATTGCCAGTACGGCTAGGAAAGACTTCAGAAGCAATGATAATTCTCAAGTGGTCTTTACCTTGATCTTCAAGGTATCAAAATTCAGATTCAAATTTCAGACCTAAGGTAGGTCTGGAAAAGGCAGGACAAATATTCAGTGAACGCTAGTGTTTATTTTCTGTTCATATTCGCAATGACACAAAGGGCCGGAAAAACATGGGGGGGTCATTGGCGCATAGAAAGGAATACATGCAGTGGCATTCCTAATTGATTTCATCTGCTATATGACAGCCGAAACTTCGTGGCCGTTCTACAACGGTCATACCCAGTCGTTAATCAGAAATCGCAGTCATTCTACCATAGACATACATAAAGGAAAACACGGATTGCAAACAATAATACACTTACGGGTAGCCATCGAGTAGGTCGGCAGTTTTCCCTCGTGCAGGAATAGGCTCTCGTTCTCCGGGGGTGACGTGCCATATTCCTCCATGTTGGTCTTCATGCTGAGGTGCTCGAGGCTTTGACGCATCCATTGTGGAAGGAAAGATGACCGGCCACCGAGGGTCGGTCCGGCCGGCGTAGCAGTAGGAGATGTGCTGTCGTGAGCCATTTTCCCCTTTTATTTGTCTTTTACGAGAGAGGCTATACGACGTAAATCGTGAAGAGCGAAAACCACTTCAAATCTGACAGACACTTCGAGAGATGGGTGCGCTCATAGGAGTCGCGGGGTAGCCTGGGATAATCACGCGAAATATATGGAGTCAAGAAACTACTCCTAGAGATACGGTTTGGTTAAAAGCGCATTGAAGTCAACTGATTCGAATTTCTTCGGGGAGGGCCGATAAAGAATCCTTTCAACAATTGTTACACACGACCAAAATGTCGGTGAATTGTAATGATTAATGAAATATGGCTGGGCCGCGTACGATGAAATAAAGATCGTCGGCAAGCGGCAGGATGATTAAGCGCTGCAACTTCTACCTCTTTTCGAAGGTTGCGGCGAATGATTCCAATAATTAATTTAACGCCAATGAAGCGTTAAATACCTGAAAGCGATACAAGTAGATGGAATTATAAACAAGCGCAAATTAGCTAAGGGTTCTCCATCCTACAGGTAAGCGTGATCGAGAAACCCACTAACAGCAGCTGTGATAGGTATCACATTTTACTATACTATAGTATTATAATGTAATACCTGTTCCGGTAGCTCCGCACTGAAGGCGCCAAAAAAAAAATACCGAAACGGTTTAACAAAATATCTGTAGGCGTTTTGACGGCAGCTTATTACAGTAATCCTAATAATATTAAGTTATATAGATGATTGGTAAACAGGTGAATAACTTATAATTTTTTTATGATTCCTTCATTCTGTCATAAATACGATAAAAACTGGAAACAGTTTTTCTTCTTCTACTTTGCCGACATACAAGATTGCATGTAAATATCCTGAGTGGAAAGCCATGCCAACACCTCCGCTTTTTGTTCGTACGCAGTTACGTCAGAGGCAGTTCATCTGGCTTATCCGAACTAATCATCCCAGTAACAAGTTTCAGTCAAAAGTTGGCACTGTTATAGATAGAACGGTAATATACATATACAAGCAGATTTTAAGTATTGCCAAAGAACATCAATGTGAGTTAATATTCTTTAGGTACCGTCATTCCATCGTAACTTAGTGGTTTCTTCATTCAGCCGCTCATCTAACACATACTGGAATCACTAGCCACTGCTCATGAGCAGAGAACTGGTTTGAAACATGCTAGTGGACTCTCGCTTGCGTCAAGCAAAAGGAAACTACAGAGAGTCAGTGGCACTCAGCACAAAATGGCGAAGCAAACGTGATTTCACTCTAAACGGCCACACCACGCCCACTAAATTGCTATGGCCGGAATCGCTGTTTGCCATGAGGCTACTGCGTACAGGATCTCCGGACCAAACTAAATAGCGTACTGGCTAAGTTACGATGTGTACGTTAAAAGCTAGCGAAAGACACGCTTAACTACACTGTTGTATATGATATCATGACAGAGCAGTGGGAAAGACAGACGACGGTCGATGAAGGCAATGGTAGTCATTATATTATAGGAACGGCGGGCCGATCGAATGGGAAGGAGAAAGGCTGCGGGTATCGCGCGGCCACTGTCGATTCAGACGAAACGGATACCGGTAGCCCAAGTCGCTGTTGTTCAATAGGCGTCCTTCGTTCGATGCACATTGGGCAACTCGCCCACTGCTTTTCATGCACTTCTAGTGTAGAGGTAGTTAGTAGGTACTACGCTGACAAACGGACTGGCGCTTCAATGCAACAACCTTATGGTGAACCTTTATCGCAGATATTCGGTGCTTTTTGATAATGCGCGCTCACTTGTGAACCGTGACAGCAGTAGAGTGTGGTGCACGAACCTGGGCAATTTTTATAGGCCAATGTTGCTGCTGCCACCCATTGGCCTACCCAATGTAATTCTGATTTGCGTGGCACTTTTTGATATTGTATCCAAATTTCTGTCCAACTGTTTTAAGTACAAGATATCAGTTACCCTCATTTCTCAAATAGTAAAACATGGGAGTACTTGTACGTCTTAAGTACAAAATCAGGTACCCTTATTTATCAACTAGTAAAACATGGGGAGTCAAAAAGTGCACGTCCGCTCTTCACGTCGAGTCACTACTTAAGCAGATAGTTAACTGCTACAATCACCTCATTGAATAATCTTCACAGTCATTTCATATAGCCGTGCACCTTAAATAATCACGGGTTGCAACCAAATGCAAATAAAGCTTTGTAACAATCACTATTCTGCTTTTTACATAATGACAATCTACGACTGCTAATATACTAACAACCAAATACAGACAGCAATATATTTCGCGAATAGTTCACGCGTCGCCTACCGATTACAGTCTGTTTTGAGTTCGGCATCGTCGTTAAGTGCTCCATCAGACAACTAGTGTTTCTATGCGAGGATCGGTGATTCTATGCCCGTAATCGAATCTAGATTACAACATGTCCCTAAGGTTAGCAGGAAATTATTTACGAACTGAGCTATTATAGACACCGTCTACCATGGCACAAGTCCCTTATATAAATATGATGATCACAATCACCGCCGGCTCGAACATTGGTCGTCAAGCAATAAGAAGCAACCCCTGGTGATAACGTCTACCACTAACATGACTCACTGTACAACGAACGTCCTGCCTCATTAGCCCCACTCCCGTTAACATTCCACTCAGTTGTATGTATCTCGCAGAGCTCATTCACCCTCCCTCTGCATTTGAGGCCAGCCAGGAACCAGGCGTGCATTCGGCGTCCGGCTATTCGTTTGGTTGTATAGCTCTGGCATTTCCAAGCATCGCGAAGATACCGTAACAACAACAGGGTATACACAGCCTGTGCACCTAAGCAAGCAGAATACTCGTGCTCGTAACCTCACTGCCCCATCTTCGAGGGCCTTTTAGCTAATACAAACCAATGCTGGAACAAAATTGGTTTAAACAAAAGCAGGGACATTTACAAGTGATTGTCTAACATGTTAGACGACCAACTTCAACAAGCCGTATATAAACGTCACTTTGGGAGTTGAATATTCACGCACAAAACAAGCACATTATTGGCGTCCTGATTCGTTGGTAACTTAATATTGAAACAGTCTAACTTTAAACGTGCGAAACACTGCAAAGGTCATATGAAAAATACTTCCAAATCCGTTAAACACCAAGAAATTCTTTACGTAACTGACCGATATTTGACTTGTCAAAATGCGTCGAAAGTGAAATGCGTTGAACAAAGGTCCAGCTGTTCGCCATAAAGCCTTTTTTACGTTAATTTTTTATACATTTGTACGAGATGTATGTAGTGGGATCTTCTGCCTCATATATGGAAGCTTCACAAAGCAAATAATTTATCTGCTACGCGAATTATGGCAGTAGCCTGTGTGATCACGGACATTACTTCACGTCTGCATTTTGTAATGTAACTAAATACAATCACAATCGTTCAATCACTCGAAAAAGGCAACTTTCATATAAATCGAAAATATGGACACACAAATAGTTTTGAATCTATTTACCATTGTATACCCGCTATATGACTTGTCCTTGACTTTGCAGAATAAGCCTGCTTCACTTTGTTTTCCTGACGAATTAAAGCACAGAGGCCCGTTTCTGTCCGGTACGAAATTAGCCTATTTAGCTACTGCGCGTTTTAAAAAATGTGGTGTCAGCGAAGTCTTATTGAATTAACAAGTCTTGGTGCTATTTATGTCAAAATTATTAGCCTTATTGTCATAGGAGTGATAAAAGAATCAACAATTTGTTTTCTATATAACAATACAATGAAATTGTTGATGATCTACTAGGCAAAATATCGACTCAGACACCTGCTTACCTGCCAAATGGCGACCCTGATATCATTCGGACTATACAATGTATTGATATGCTCTGATAATTTCATAACTCTACGCACTGTTGTCATAACAACAACGCGAAATATGACTCGCCTACTTACAGCACCTTAAATTTAGTCATTAATTGGAGAATCATTCTTACAGTTTATTAGGAAGATATAATGCTATGCTGATTAGATGCCCTACACTCTCAGTAGCTACGTTTTCCTATACTCGAAAAAATATCCTGATATACAAAAGATACATGTCAACCAGAACGAGCAAAACTCAGGACAAGGTCTACGTGTCCATATGCAAAACGGTGATGCAAGAGATAATCGGTTTCTTGATGACATGATATGATTTGTAGATATGACTTCGTTAACCCACGTTAACCTGTAGAGCTTTTTTCATAATAATACACTCTCAATTGCGTTGACGTTCACGTCATTAGTTCTAAGGATTCGTCACGATTGCAGCAATGACAGTTACTGTCTAACAGCAGAATTAAACTTTGCCCCACAGTATTCGAAATTTTGTCACTGAAAGAAAGCTGTCACTAACTTTTTCAAAAATGATAATGTACATGTGCACACGTGAAATACTGCTTAGTATATTGTGCAGGAGAATATGGTTTTTTCTAGATTGTCTAGTAAATTTCAATGGGTAAAGTTGCATAAGAACAGTTTCCATGCTGACAGGTGCTGTCATTAGAACAGGTCGTGTTCATCAAGTCAACCTGAAAAACACCTGCGTCTTGAATGTACTTATCACTTTGAAGTATAGCAACCTAGCTGCTTGGTTAATGATTTGTCATTATATAATATAATAATACTCATGTTTTGGCGTAAGAACTACATATTTTATTCACGCAATCATGCCAGACAAGACGCACTAAAATCCGCTGTGATGAGATTCTCAATTATAATTTTGAGATTCATTCTTCGCATAATCTTAAACACTTCTTTGTATTAGCCATGTGCTTATTGAAGGCAGCTGATAGTTACGACGTTTAATCCATTTCAAACAAGGTTCCTCTTTCCAGAAGAAAATTCTAGAAGAGCGTGACGTTAGGTTCATGAAAAAAGAGTCCCAGTTTCGTTACTCCCTATTATTAATATTTATCGTCAAATCAGTCTACAACGTATCCAACGTATCGATTAGTATGTACCTAGTTCAATTGATCACCTGTGCCTACTGATACGGGATTTCCTCGGAGCTCTCAGCAAACCGGGACGAATCATTGAATCTGATGGGACAAAATTTACTCTGTAACCAGGCCCTTAACAACAACAGCAATTAATAATAAGTACTAGAATACTACGGCATCAGTATGAGCTTGAAAGTACCTCGGCAGGCCCAAGTAACAGCTTAGCTGCAATCTAATATAGTAAACCCTTAACAGTGGACAGAGGGAGCAAACGGAGAGAAACAAAAATACAGTAGACGTTTTTGCCATTATGGAAGAAATCCCACTCAATGCAATGAAATGGAAGAACAAGGACAAGGGACATGACACGGTGACCACACAATTTCTAGCGCCATTCCGATTAACAGCTTGACCTGGAGCAGCGAACCAAGCATTCACGTCCTTTGCAATTTAAAGTCATGGAGATTCTATGACGTAAAAAGCGCTGAAACGCCAAAGAGCTTCTAGATTGGCTAGTCTTGCTGTTGAGCTGTGAAGATTTCAAGAAAGCACGTGTTGGTGGTTTATGCAATGGATCAATTATGATCGCTCGAACATATCTACGCCTTTAATCTAATAAAAATGACTTCGTATCGCATAGAAAATTTCTAGCATTTCTAGGAATATGTAACTCGTAAGCACGTCTACAGATGTTTTATTTAGGTCAAGTCTACTATGTTACATAAAGAATGTCCAGCAACCTTTAATTAGGGACAATTATACATAACGTAACGGAAAGTTGCGTTATTAGTTTTTATTATTCTAATTCACTTGCGCGCGTACCACTTAGGTAGAATAGCACGAGGTCAATTATTTTTGTCACAGTTGTAATCATATATGTAGCATACCCTATCAAGCATGTTTTACTAAATAGCACCATTTCCAAACTGCTTGTTGGTTGTTCGATCTAGAGACTGAGTGTCTAGTAAACGGCCTTGCCAGAGCTAGACGGAAACCACTAACTGAACATTCTTAATTTTTGCCTAGCCGTACTGATAACGCAAGCACACGTTTATCCACAGCTAAGGTGTGCTGCATTCAAAGAGATCGCATGATTTCTTAGCTTCAAGCTCACATAAAATGCTCTTCCTAGTCCGCCCGTCCTGTTTCCAACCTGTTTCCTCGCAATTTGTCACGCATGCGCACCAATAACGTATTTGCGCGCCACTAATGTATATGCGCGCCAATAATGTACATGCGCGCCAATAATGTACATGCGCGCCAATAATGTACATGCGCGCCAATAATGTACTTGCACGCCAATAATGTACAAGTATGCCAATAGTGTGCTCGCATGCCAATAGTATACTTGCACGCCAATAGTGTACTTGCACGCCAACAGTGTACTTGCACGCCAATAGTGTACTT